TTTCCAGGGCGAATCATCTACTGGCTTTTCTGGCGCTGTGCGACATACTGGTGTTCGTGATGATGTTTCCTCACTACCTGGCAGCATTGGACGTCTTCGCACACAACACTCAGTTCAGATGGTGCATTTCAACACGAAGGTTCACTTTGCAGCTCTGACAAACTGGTTCTCTGCGGCGGCTATATGGTGAGTAATGACTGAGCTAAAGTTCCTAAATAATACAGCGGTTTCACTACTTTGACAGTACTCTTAGTACCTGCTTCCACAGCGAATTTTGCCAAGTAAGTGCAGGAAAGAATTTCGACGTTGTTCGACTTATCGGGGGCATTTTGACTCTTGCTGGTTCCATTTGCCACTTCGTGGTGACTAACAGGTCTCACGTGCGCGGAATTTGGAACTATGTGATGGTAAAAGAGGGCTACTTTATTTGCAGGTTACAAGTCTTCATAAGGTGGCCTGTACAGTCTAGTTCGCTGTTGATGAAGGGGCGTGTCAGGCGGTATGGGTGTGCCATGGCGCCAAGTCCGTTCTCTGCCTGCTTTTGAAGCGAGTTTGCAACAAACGAGTGATACAGCGAAGTGATGCAGTCTTATCACTTGCTCGCTTCAACAGCTGGTGGAGAACGGGTTTGGCACCGCGCCAAGTTCATCCTGCCTGACACGCCCTTTCGCCCGCAGCGAACCAGCAAGGAAGCTTCGTTGAATACCACCCGGTGCCCCCATCAAGCCGAACAGCGCCTGAAATTCTGTGTTTTTTGGGTCTCGTCATACACTCATCATTGGGCCTAGACTCTCTAGGACATTCCATATCCTGAGGAAATTTGGGGAAATATGACATATCACACCTTAGCGATTACTCAGTTAGTACATCATATATGTTTAAGGTTTCGTGCTGGCTGTGTCGGTAGAGCGGCTTCTCATTGTGAAGTTCCCATTTCGTTCCTTAGACAATTATAACGTGAGTTTCTGTCTTTCTTTCGCTATGGGAAACATTTTTGATGATAGTTCACTAGTTCTGTTGTGTACAATCAGCAAGTCTTTCATAGCGAAAAGTCGCAGTCACGACTATTTATCAGGTGGGAAATGATGGTCCAATTCACTTTGCGATTTGGACGTAGTTTGTACCTGAGTTATAGAAGTTCCATCCTCCAGCTGGTGTCCAGCGCCAGCATTTTGCCAAAATCAGGAGCCGATCGGATCGTTCTCTTTCGGTTCTGTTTTCCTTTTTCTCCGCAATGCACATTATCACACAGTGGTGACGGCACTGACGGGTAGGGAGGGGTCATCCAGTACATGGAGCGCTTTCCTAAAAGGTGCTCCGGAATTTTTAGGGCACATGCAATGGGAAGAAAAGCAACTGCAAGCTCTGACAACTCGACTGTCAGAGAAGAGTGAATGATTGTCCGATAGGCTCAATTCAATATTCCCATGGTGAAAACATTCCTAGTAGAGTGACAAGTAAAGCCCTACGTGTGCCAGCGACACGACCGAAGCAGCCACTTGGTCGCTCCTCAGCAAGGCAGTTCCAAGGGTTAGGTTGTGTGGTGAGACTACGAGAGATGGCGTATGGATTCGGTTGGTGAAGTGAATGGGAGAGTTCGCCTTTTCAGCTTCTCGTTTTTTTTGTATTCATGCATGGGTAGAAATGGT